TCCACCAGACGCTCCCTGGAAACTCTATGGGGCAGTTCTACTCTGTCCTATACGGTCGCTATGAATCGGAATCAACTTGGCCACAATGTGTTTTTTTGTTTGTTTAAACATTAGTTTAGAAATTATACTTCTGTCTTAATTTGGAGGAAAGGACCAAGGTTTTTTTCAAAATCCATATTAAAAACATTACTGGAAATGTTCTGTTTCTTGATTTGGTGTTGGTTACCATAAACCACAACCTTATGATTCCTGTACTGCTGTATATGTCAACATAAAGTTCAAGAAATTACCAGGTAGTTTTTACTGTACTTTTATTGCTAATAAAATCTCCACATCAATTACATAATGGAAGAATCTATATTTCGAGACATGAAAAGTTAGGAAAAAACAGAGTTTTCAAAAGCACTCCCTACCCTTGCAGGGATACTGTACATGCTTCCCTACATCTTAGGATTTTTGTTTAGCTATATAACTTCAATTTATTATTGCTGAAACATCTTTGTCCACAGATGGTATATGCACCTATCTGCACAAAATGCTTAGATGACGAGCGAATCTGTTATCACAGTGACACCTGCTGGTTCTTAGCTATCAACTTTAGATTCTAAGGATAGATCCTTTATAGTGTCAAATTTTTTCTCAGTAAAGTTAAATATTAAGCCTTTCCATTTCAATAAGTTATTTATTTGATGTATAATTTTTTTAAACAAATTTATTTAACAAAGAAATTGACCACAAATAAAAGATTTCTCTTATTCCATGAAATGATCTTAATTTCCTGAGGTATTTTCATTAAAAATATACAATTCCAAAAAAGCTGCTTAAGCATTTCAGATTACATGAAGTTTTTTAAACAGTGATTTAGCTTTGCAGTTTTCTTTTCAAATTCTCTATAAACTCTATTTTAAGGAAAGTATTATAGTAAATCTTAAAACATTTATGAATACTTCTCTGAAGAATTATAATTTCAGCAATATGGGCAATTTCATAAAAGTCAAGATCAATCTACATAACAGAAAAACTTAAGCACGATACAGTTAACCTGACTTCCCTTATAGCCAAATTTTTGACCTATAAATGATGATAATATTTGCTCTGGGGGCTAACTTTTCCATGCCTGCCTGGTCTCAACCAAGTATGATTTTCTTTTTTAAGTCTGAGGAACGAAAACAGTTACTCTAAGAATGAAGGAAAGCACATATTCAGTATTCACTTCCAATTTTTTTTAAGTATATTAAATACCTTTAATAATTCAGAATATTTTAGAGCAGCAGAATTTCACATTGATGTATTGTTTGTAGTACATGAAGCTTTCTTTAGAATAAGTTACATAATTGTTAATAATTTTTTGATACATTTGTACTATGGATTTTCATGATATGGTTTATGGAATTAAAAAAAAAACATAAAGGTATCTTTTTAGTATCTGTTGCTCCTAGTTCAACATTAGGTGGGCAAAACACCATATTCCCTGTATTTCCCTATTATTTTGCTCTTTCTCTAAAAGAACAAAGTGAGTACTTCTTAGTTATAAGGATGAAATAATATTAAATTACATACATGGTACTTAAAAGTACACTGTACGCTATGTTATACAAATATAAATATTGTATTTAATTACTTTAAATCAACTTTATTTGGCTATTTTTTCAGAGAACACAAGTATTTGTGAAGATCAAATGGTAGTGTACTTATTAAGTGGCTGCTTTGTGAAGTATACCACATTTGAAAATCCAAGTTTCTTTTCTCTTCCTTATGGAATATAAGTATGAAACTATCAGAGGAAATACTGTTTTGCTGATACTGCTAGACTAAGAAAGTACTGTTTTTTGCAGTCAAAATTCAAAGTGAGCGGAACAAGGAAGAGCAGGCAGGAAATGATGTAACTGATTTCAAGCCTCCGTTCAATGTAGGATCCTGGGCTGCAGTAAGTCAATAAAATTTTAACAGTCACCTTCTATTGGGGCTGAAAATTAGTAATTACCAAACCTTTCTGAAGGACTAACACGAACTACCCGATAATACATTTTCTATAATGACAACTTGCAAATATTTTGCCTGAATTAATGTTTAAAATAATTTCCTGGTATTTTACATCCTGAGATATACAGTTATAGCCCCAATTGGTTAAAGAAAAAAAAGAGCCTCTATGGTACCATTTCAGGAAGGGTGATCATTATGCTAAATTCCAAAGAATAGAACCTAATCTTATCTGTAGGAACATACTTTAAACAAAAAATTCCCCAAAATAAATTTCACAGGAATATGAACCCACAAAAATCATAATCTCATTAGGAAACAAGCCACCATAAACTTGTTTCAGTCAAAACAACCAGCAACAAACTGTATGTTCAGATACACAAGAGAAAAATATTGAAATTATCACCTATAAAACATAAAATATTTAATATGTTTAAAGAAAAAGAGCGAATAATAAATTGTCATTACCAAATGATGAAGATGATTTGACAAAATACCAAACAACACCTGGAAATGAAGAAACAACTATAATTAAGAACTCAATACTCCTGTATCCACTGTGGTCTAGTCGACTCCAACTCATAGCGACCCTAGAGGACAGAGTAGAACTGCCCCACAGTTTCCAAGGAGTGGCTGGTGGATTCAAACTGTCAACTTTTTGGTTAGCAGATGAGCTCTTAACTACTGTGCCACCAGGGCTCCAAAAAATAGATCATATACAAGAGAAAAGAGAATTAGTGAACTAGACAATACATTTAAAGAAATCATCCAGAATTATACAGAGAGACAAAGTTGGAAAACATGAAACACAGATTAAGAGACATGGAGAATAAAGTGAGATGGTGAAACAAGTCTAACTGGATATCCTGAAGGAGAGAATAGTGAGAACGGGAAGATGCACGCTTCAGAGAGATCACAGCTGAGAATTTTTCTGAATTAATGAAAGGTACTAAATCTCAGATTCAGGAAGTTCAATGAATCCCAACAGTTTAATGAAAACAAATCCACAGCTAGATACAATGTAGTATAATAACGACTGAAGAACACCAAAGATAAAGATCTTAGTCATATGAGAGAGAAATGATTACCTACAAAGGAGTAATAATCAGACTGACAACTGTCATCTCAGAAGCAATAATGGAAGAAGATGGTAGTAAAGTAACATCAAATACTAACAGAAAATACTATCAACCTAGAAGTATATACCCAGCTACCATTCAAGGATAATAAAATGGTAAACTCGTAGGTAAATCTAAACAAATACTGACTGTATAAAATAACTACTTTTGAAGTTAAACAAAGACAGAACTGAAATTCTAGACAATAATTTATAAATTGAGAGGAGGAAAGCAGACTTTGTTCAAAAATCTCTGTCACGTTTAGAAAGATTTGTAACATAAGTTAAATTTCTTGGTAAGCACTTAACGATAAAAATTGTCTTTGTTATCTAGTGCTGCTATAGCAGAAATACCACAAGTGGATGGCTTTAACAAAGAGAAATTTATTCTCTCACAGTCTGGTAGGCTACAAGTCTGAATTCAGGGTGTCAGCTCCAGGGGAAGCCTTTCTCTCTCCGTCAGCTCTGGAGGAAGGTCCTTGTCATCAATCTTCCCCTGGTCCAACAGCTCCCCAGCACAGGGACCCTGGGTCCAAAGGATGCTCGCTCCCGGCTCTTCTTGCCTGGCGGCGATGAGTTTTCCCTGTCTCTCTGTTTGCTTCTCACTTTTACATCTCAAAAGAGATTGAGCTGCAACCTAATCTTGAAGATTGGGCCCTGCCTCATCAATATAACTGCTGCTAATCCTTCCTCATTAACATCGTAGAGGTAGGTTTACAACATATAAGAAAATCACATCAGATGACAAAATGGTAGACAATCACATACTACTGGGAATCATGTACTAGCCAAGATGACACACAGTCTTTTTGGGGGGACACGATTCAATCCATAACAACTGTTTACCTTCCAAACTAGTAGAACAAAAGTAAATGGAAATACAAAACAAAATAAAACTCACCGATCTAAAAGAAGACAAGAAAGCAAGGGAAGTGAAGAAACAGAAAAGGTGGGATAAAAAGTACAAAATAAGACAGTAGAAATAAACCCTAATATATATAAATCATTGTGAATGGATTAAACTCTCCAGTTAAAAGATAATCACATGGAAAGAAAAAGAAATCTAGTTACAGTTTCCAAGAGGCACACCTAAAACATAAAGGTCCAATAAAAGGATAAAAAAACCTAACACGAGTACTAACCAGCTGTTGTGGCCTATGCAAACATAATAGAACACAGATTTTTAAAGAAGCACAAAGTAAAATAAAAACATTACTGGAAGTGAAGGTTACTACAATAAATATAATTCAATTCTCTAGGAAGATAATTCTAAACATGTATGTATCTAATAACAAAGCCTCAAAATGTATAAAGCAAAAACTGACAGAATTACAGGGAGAAATGAACAAGTTTACTAGAGTGGGAAATTTTAACACATCTTAGAATCTGAGAGATCAAGTAGAAGGAGAAAGAACATTAAAATAGAGACAATTTGAACAACACAATTAACAAGCTTACAATTAACACCAAACAACTAGAACATATGCATACTTTTCAAGTACTCATGAAACATTTCCAAAAACTAATCATGTTCTAGTTCGTGAAACAAACTTCAACATATTAGTTTTACATAAACCTCATTCCCCTGACCACATTCAATTAAAACATAAACCAATAATATAAGAACAGAATTTTAAAATCTACACTTAGAAATGAAAAGAAAAACCCACATACAAGTCAAAATCATAATGAAAACATTTCTAAAGAATTTAAAATTATAAAACATTTGATTATTTCATTTGAATACTGTGACATAGAACCCATATTATCTGTGCTTAATACCATAAACATAGCAGAAATGTTACAAGTTACATAATGATTAAATTTAATTTTTACATATAAATAAAATACCTATTAAAAGTGATTTGGAAACTAGGGAACAAAAGTAAAACTGCTCACCACCAAAAAAAAAAAAAGAAAAAATTAAAAGGAAGATTGACTATTTTAGAAGCTATACTGAATAACTAACCAAGTTACAAAGAAAGAATTTAGTTTCTTAATCTTTAAAGCTCAAAAAGTCCCATCAATTTAATTAGGTTTAGGAAGTCCCTTACTTATATAATATATGCAAACCTATAAGGTAAAGTATTTATTATTTATATGAGATGAACAAAAACTATGAGAAATATTTCTGGCCAAGTTGGGTAGTGCCAATTAAGAGCATATTCCTGCTCCAGCATAGTCTTGATTTCTTGGCTATCACGTGTGTTCAGTGGTGCACTGGCAATTAATAGCATTCCAAAAACTGCCTAAGATACAAAGGGAATTTTCATTTATGGTCCCCCTCCCTTTTCATGTGTGGGATATTTTTGGAAGTTATTATTTTTTTTTCCACCCACTGAAAGAGAATTAAGAGAATTCCAACATGTCTTGGTGTCACCAAGTGCTCTTTTTCAGTCCAGGTACCAGAGGATGATTGATGAACCTGTCAAGCCTACAGCAGCAGACAGAGAAAGTTGGCAGAAGTTCAGTGTTACTGAAAGAAATCGCAAATACTTATTTCATCTCCTCTATGAACTTTAATCACATTTTCAATGTGCAGCCAAGAATGAAGCTTTGACAGTAAGCCATACATTTACACAGGCAAGCATTGTCAATTTTCTGCAGTCTCAACACTGAGATAACACAAGAAAGTTGGAAACTTTCTTCCTTCCTCTTTCTTTACTACAGAACAATAAAAAATATTTGAAAGATTTATCCATACCTCAAAATCATTTGCCATAAATCTCCTGAAATTATTGCATTTAATTTTGCTTAGTTTGTGGCAAAAAAACAAAAAAAACTTAGTTCTTCAACTAGATTGCTAAACGTAGATTTTTAAAGATCACAGTGATGACAGAATTGGTACATTTCACCATAATACACTGCTTATGAGAACAGACGTTAACATTAAAAAGGATTTACATTTAACATGGATCATTTGCCATGTAGGCAAACACTTCTGGTTCATTCAGAGCCAAAATCTTTATATGGTTCCAGAGGGACCCTTGGCAGACTTTGCTGATTACTCATTAAACAGTTGAAACATATATATACATATATATATGTATACACACACACACACACACACACACACACACATTAGACCAACATGGCCACCTTGCCATGGTTGAGACAATGTTTTGACTCTCACTTCCCTTAGATATAATCTCTGCTCCAAGGACAGTTGTTTTTGTCTACATTATTCATGGAATAAAACTTTATACATTTTCCTATAGCCTGGAAGCTATGGCAGGCATCTATTAAATTGCCTTTTAACCTTTTAAGCCACAATAATAAACTAATATTAATGCTGTATAACGCCAACCCATTGCTGTCAAGTTGATTCCAACTAATAGCGACCCTATAGGACAGAGCAGAACTGCCCTACAGTGTTCCCAAGGTTGTAAATCTTTACGGAAGCAGACTGCCATATCTTTTTTCCAAGGAGCAGCTGGTAGGTTCGAATCTCTGACCTTTCGGTTAGCAGCTGAGTGCTTCAACCATTGTGCCACCAGAGCTCCTTAATCCTGTATAAGAATCAAATTATTTTAATGTCTAAGAAATCTATACTTACAATTCTCTGACATAATCAATGGAAAAGAAGAACAAACAATTCTGATTAAGAAAGAGTAACTGTATCCCATTTTTCCTCCTCTTACTGCCCATTCAAATAATCATAGGTAGGCACTTGAAACGGACACGATACAGCACTCTTCTTCTGCACAACCTTTAATCGGGACTCCAGCAGATGTCTCTTTCTTCTGATGTTAAGAGTGCCACTGAATATATTGCTAAGCTTGAACAGATGCTAACTGGTTCGGTGGGAGTATTTTGGGGGGAAAGTCAATGTTTTCTCACTAGTTTGTTATTGCTGAGGTTCAAGCTGTTAAAAGGTGGAAAATTTCGCTAGGTCCTTCTCCATCTCAGCATATTGTTCTTTAAGCCTCTCCATGGCTTTTCTGTGCTCTTCGTCCACTTCAGCCCGCTTGCTATGCTGTTCTCTCATGAAATCTTCCCACTGGGTTATGTGCTGGTTTTCACTAGCTAGTAAATGGTCACTATAAAGCTGAGAAAAGAAAATGTGACAGTCACATGACATTTTCCAGACAACTATTTTTCTATGCAGAAGAGACATAAACATAACTTTATCTCTTGGTATTTGGTTATTGTATCAACTTATAAGTTACAATGATACAACTGCATTATAGTTTTAACGACCAACAAAAACACAACATATTAGAAACACCTCAGGTTTCTCTTACTATGACTGAACATAGGTATTCACATTTCTGAATTTTCAAAAATAGCTATTATTTTTAAATGACAAAATCAAACACAATGTAAGTTTTCATATCTCTAGCTTCTAAAATTCCAAGTTTTATGAAGCATTTATAAAGTGCTTTATGAAGTTTAAAAAATACATGCTAAAAGAATCATTACTATAAGAAATTAAAAGGCATGTCTTACATATATTTTAGGCTATAGTAAAAATAATCATAAATTATTTATCACTGTTAGAGAAGCCAATAAATCTCCTCTGGTTCAGATCAATTCCTTAAAATAAACGAACGCCTAAAACATCTGTGTTAAAAAGTTCTTTTTGAGATGTTCTCTAATAGTTTTATATGATAATGAAAAGGTTTTTTTCTATTGAGTACAGCAACACTAAAAGGTTGTATCAATCTTTTATATAAATTTAGTTTTTCTCCCCCAAAAAGCATAATTTCAGTCATTTCCTTTGAATATGGACAACAAAAAGTTAAACAGAAAAACAAAATACGGTGAAATAACTATATCTCCGCTTCAAGTATTCTACATACATGTCTTTAAAAGTAAAGTTTTGATACAGGCTCAGCCCTATTAAACAAACAAACAAAAATTGTGACAGAAGCAAACCACAAAAAGCTACAAAGCACCCGAAGTCATTACTAATTCCAGAATATTAATCCCAGAGCTCTAATAAAAAAGAGACACCTGGGATCCCCAGATGCTTCTGGGCTCAGACACCAGCCACCAGAAAAGTAGCTAATAGGAAAAGATGCAAACAGCGCTCTCCTGAAGTCCATGATAGCCCTGCTCTCCTATCTTCTCTCTCATCTGGGTCATGATGAGAAGCAAGATGAAGAGCTGGATGAAGCAATCTGCTCCAAGTACCTAGGAATAGCATATTTCTGCTCTCTGCTTTGACTGCTTATCTAGTTCTCAGAAGCCCTATTATAAGGCTACGTTATTCTCATTTTATAGTTGAAGAAATTAAGGATCAGGAATCCTAAATTGACTCTTCATGAGGACTCAGCTAGTAAGCTGTAGATTAAACTCAGGGCTTTTTGACGCCCAAACCTATGCTTTTTCTATCACCAAGTGCAAATCAGATCATTCCAGAGGAAGTTTTACATAGGTAGCTAAAAGTTTCTCTCATCAGACAAAAAATGCTCTTGCAAGAGCTTTTTCTGCAAGCTGATCTGGCGTCCCTCAGCACCTAGGCTTTTCAAGTGAGAAGAGGCTAAGCAAGCCTGAAGTCTGAGAGCTATAGCCGGCATTCCCCTACAGTGTGTCCCACAGAACCCTGGGAGCACAACATACATGGCCATGGTGGGGAGAGAGTTAGGGAGGGGTGTGCTGATGCAAAAAATTCGGGAAAAAGGTGAAACAAAATTCAACACATTGCTTTTTAACTTTTCAGCCTATGCAATGTAACTCCTCAAAAGATGAATAAAGCATCAAGAGTTTATTAATCTCTTTTAATGGAACTTTGGCAAACACTAATAAAAGTTTATTAAACTTTTCTTTTAAAAGCAAAGCCGAGTCAGACTAAGAAGAGAAGAAAAATGCAAACAAATGTTATCAAAATGGTATCTTGCGTTGGGTGTAAGTTAATTTTTAATAAATACAGAGAATTGCAAATAGGCGTAGTCAGATGTTACTGGTGTTGTTAGCTGCTGTCGAGTCGATTCTGACTCATGGTGACCCCATGTGTGAGCAGTAGAACTGCTTCACCAGGTTTTCAAGGCTGTGACCTCTCAGAGGCAGATCACCAGGTCTGTCTTCTGAGGCACCTCTGGGTGGAGTCAAACCACCAGTAGTCGAATGCTTAACCGTTTACACCACTAAGGACTCCGGATATTATTTAATAAATCGTTATTATTATTTTTAACTGAAATGCAATAATTGGCTCAGTTGACCCTGCCTGATTTGGACCACAAGGCAACAGCCCAGGTTCTACTTCCCACCAACAGCACTCCACCCAGTGTGGCTCAGTGCAGAGAAATGCAGATTTGGGAAGCATACAAACCTAACTACAAATCTGGCTCTACCTGTTACCAGTTACATGACCCTGAGCAAGTTAAAGTTCTTTATTTTTAAAATGAGGAAAATAATATTTTACATGCATAAATAATATTTATGAAGATTAAAGTAATACATTTCAAGATGCTAGCTCAGTGCCTGAGGTGCTTAATAAAAGGTAAACATTATTTTTATTATTATACAAATCACAAGCAAAACATCTAGCAGGAAAAATCAGACTATTTTTATCCACCCTCTCATTTAAGTTTTCTTTTCATTTTAATAGTTTTAGAAATAGATTTGTGTAATAATTCAAACAATACAGACAGTTCAAATACAATTAAGTCTTCCCCTGCCCCTCCCACACTCAATTCAAATCTTCCTATGTATCCACTATTAACCACCTGGCTGTAAAACTTTAATTAAGATCCCACCAAAGATCAGTATCTCTGTTCTGTAGATTCAGAATATTATGATTAAAGATAAATACATTCAAGTAGCTTTTCACATCAGGCATATCACTTCTTGGCCTCAGAGTCCAGCTGAAAATAAGCTGAATACTGAGGACTCCCCAGCTCAATCGAACATCTACTCTTGCTTTCTTATCACCAGGTTTAAAGTCACTCTCTTTATCTTTTCTTAGTCTCTCACCTTTAATTATGCTCTGTATTTTTGCATTCTTCACAACACTTAGTTTACTAAAAGGTCCCTGGGTGGCTCAAACAGCCTTGCACTCTTCTACCAACAGAAAGGTTGGCAATTAGAACCCATCCAGTTGCACTGCCTCTGTGAAGAAGGCCTAGGGATCAGCTTCCCTAAAGATCACAGCCAAGAAAATCCTATGGAGCTCAGTTCTGCTCTATCACCAACGGGACCGCCATGAGTCGGAATTGACTTGACTGCAATGGGTTTGTTTGTTTTTGTTATACATTCCTTTACAGATAATACTGTAGTCATCACCTATAAATAAAACTCAGCTACTTGGAAATACCATTTATCTTAAGACTTTAAACCATCAAAAATAAAAACAAACCCCACACAACACAACAAAGTCCATTTACAAACACTGCCGTTCTCAAGAAAAACTTCTGACTTGGAACTTCTTTGCACTAGTTTACACACAATTCTAACCAGTGGAGTTAACTGGTTTCTAAGGCTACACCATATTTAAAGTCACAAATTAGAAAAAGATGACAAAGAAGATAAGAAGAAATGATAGGTATCAGCCTTACAGCAAAGGAGACAGAATCAAGAGGACAGGGATGTTGCTCAGTGTTCCACAATGGGATGTAGGGGAGAGCTCCCAACAAAATATATTATCCGGCTCAAAATGTCAATAGTGCCCAGGTGGAGTAACCCTGGTCTAGGGGAAAACTCTGAATAAGTCCACTAAGGTCCAAAAAAGACTTTTGGAATAGCTGTCAGTAATACAGGTGCCATTAATTTTGCATATGCCTTACACAGACATATGAAAAACTACTTTGGTAAGAAGTGTCAGTATAGTAACTGTCAATAATGATTTTAAACAGAATATTACATACTGATATATTACTCTGCATTGTCAAACTCTATCAAGACCAATGTTGTAGTGTGGAGAATTACTTAATATGGCCCTTCTAGCCATAGTCTTTGTCACTCCCACACAATGATTGGGTGGGACTATGCAAATAAGGTACTTGTGGACCATCAAGGGGATTGGACAGCTTGCTGCTAAATAAGGTGCATGGAACCACTGTGGGGGTGGGATCATGCAAATAAGGTGTATGGAACCCTAAAGAGGAGATTGATCAGTTTTATCATCCTGCTAGGTTTAAAATGAGCCATCCCAGAGGGGGAAAGGGGGAGCTTTCATCAAGAAAGAAAAGCCAGGAGTGGTGCACCCAGGGTCCCTGCGCTGAGAACCTCCTAGACCCAGGAGCCAGAGAGAGCTGTAACACTGGAGACAGCATGAAATAGCAAGAAGCAGTGGCAAAGAAAAACAGTGGCAGCAGAACCAGGAGATTGATGCGAGTTGGCATGGTGGGCTTCCTGGCCCACTGAACAAGGCAGCTACAGCAGGTGTGCTGACCCACAGAGTGAGAGAGCTGAGTGCCTTTGGGCAGGAGGCTTTCTGGTGAAGTGGGGTGCCTCAGGGCACTTGGCAAAGCTAGGCTCGCTGACCCACGGAGCGAGAGAGAGTGGAGAACCTTCGGGCCATGGCTTACCGGCAGAGTGAGCTGCCTCCAGGCACTTACCGGTGGAGCTAAATAGCTTTGTAACACTTGTCTAAGGAGGACAGAGACCAGGCTGAGAGGCCAAGAGGCTGAGGGCCAGAGAAAGTCCTTCCTGCAGGCATGGCTGAGAAGAGGTTGTCCTGATTGAAGAACTGTATCCTGAGTCATTCCTGATTCTGATTTATTCATTCCCTAATAAACTCCTGATCCTAATTTATTTATTCCCTAATAAATTCCATAAAATGAACACTGTCTATGAGTTGTGTGTGGCCATTGCAATGAATTATCAAACCCAGGAGAGAAGTAAAGAGTGCTGTGGGAGGGATGGCTGGTGTCAGAATTGGTAAAAAGGTTGTAGACAGCAGGTATGTCTGACCTCTGTCTCATAGGTATCAGCCTTGGGCTGTTGATCTTGATTCTCTTCCCCCTTCGTGAAGTTAGAGGAGGTCAGACACCATCCACATACTATTTTCACAAATGTATAAGCCATGCAATCTCATTGCTCTTACATTAAAAAACAAAAAAACAAAAAAACAAACTACACGGGTATAAGCAAAGCTAATAAATATTTGTGGACAAGGTGAATCAGAGCACTCATGCTTATTTTATTATCTCTAGTCTAGTTGAACAGGGCCTCAAAAGATGATGCTGTGCGTGAACTTAAGTGTAAGTTATTGACAGACATTATTAATCACCTCATCTCCCTTGAGAACAACAGTGTTTTTAAGAGCCAGTGAGTTTTATAAACCGATCATATTTTCACTTGGGCACTATTCTTATTGCTAGTACCCAAAAACGCTTCTTTGTATTAGGGCAGTTTCCAAGACATGTGTCAAATAACTGGGGAATGTGCATTTATTGTTCTTCTAAATGTACTTTTAGATATCAATTGTGGGAAATGTGATTTGGATGAATGATGTTTATCATAATTTACTTCCCACTAAATTCCACAAATTGTCTTGACATAAAAGAATTAATGATAAATGACAATAGTCTATTTTATTCCATTACTACTCCTATCTTTCTTTGTTCTGAGAGCCATTCAAGCACACCAAATGTAGTCAACACTATAACCAAGGGCAACAAGTAGCATCAGTTATAAATTGGAGGTAGAGGTCAATTTTGCTTTTTTACATATTTGCTAGATGAAATATTAAAATTTGCTCCCCTATGTCTTATATGCATATGTAGTCTGAGATTCCCCTGCCATGTCAAAGTTTTGGAATAAAACAGATATGATAGTAAAAAAAAACAAAAACAAAAAAACCTTAGATGTTCTGTTAATTATATACACACTAAAAAAAAGAAATAAAGACTTAAGAATAAAGGTTTATTGTCCCAGTAAGAACACAAAGCATTTTTACTTTTCTCTGAGCTCTGTCTGAAAAACGCATCTTTGTGTGACTTTCAGATGGTTAATTTTATTAAATTACCTGGAGAAAAGAAAATAATTAGGGTGGCTGCTTATGGATGTAGATTTCAGATTCCATGCAACTCTCAGTGAAATACAAAGCATTTAAGTATATTCAAAATACTAACTTTTATAATGTATTTCACAAAATTTAGCTTAATAACATTCTCAGACATAATACCTACAAGAAATGTATTTAAGACTAAAATATTCTGAGGGCTTTATTATGAATGCACAGGGTCCTCAAATCTTCACCAACTCTAATAGACTAAAACGGGGCTCTCATCCACTTAGGCCTAAATCTTAAACAAATTAGTGAGCTGACAGAAAAAAACACAGTCTTCCACTTGTATGGTGATTTACAATTTGTAAAACATTTTCACATAATTATAGAATACAACCTACCTGTCAAGCCAGCAGGCAGAATAGGTATTTATTTTGTAGATGAGGTGCTTGGAACTCAGGGACTTGTCCAAGGACCGCAGCTAATAAACAGAACCACTACAAATAGAACCAGGTCTTTTTCCTCAAATCTGGTAATTTTCCTACTACATGGCTCCTTACACACCAAATGTGAAAACAGTTCAAAGTGATGAGAGGAACTTTTGCAATTATAATTTAATTTTACATTACTTCTGCTTTAAATGACAAGAGCTGCCATTTGCTCAGAATTATAAATGCTCTGACTATGTTGTACAGGGACTGATGTCCTTTGAATGTGCACTCACTGGAACCTGCTTCAATCATACAGCAACATGTCAGAGAAGCAACATGTGGAATGGAATATCTCTTCCAAATTTTTATTTTGAAAGCCAAGAGAATTGCATATATTAAATGTCTAGCCAATGTTCTACCAGATAAAGTCATTCCTCTTCTTAAAAAAGGAAATGCTCCTCAAGAGAGAATGAAGAAAACCAAAGACACAAGGGAAAGATTAGTCTAAAAACTAATGTATCACAACTACCATAGCCTCCACCAGACTGAGTCCAGTACAGCTGGCTACCACCACTGACTGCTCTGACAGGGATCAGAATAGAAGGTCTCGGACAGAGCTGGAGAAAAATGTACAGCAAAATTCTAACTTACAAAAAAAGACCAGACTTACTGACCTAACAGAGACTAGAAAAACCCTGAGAATATGGCCTCCAGACACCCTTTCAGCTCAGTAACGAAGTCACTCCTGAGGTTTGTCCTTTAGCCAAAGACTAGACAGGCCCATAAAACAAAACGAAACCAAAGGGGCACACCAGTCCAGGGGCAAGGACTAGAAGGCAGGAGGGGATAGGAAAGCTGGTGGTTGGGAACCCAAGGCCAAGAAGGGAGACTGCTGACACCTGGAAGATGGGACTGGCCATCTGTTTCTAAAAGGTCTTGAAAACCCTATGGAGCAGTTTTACTCTATACACGTGGGATCACCATGAATCAGAGCTGACTCAATGGCAACTAACAAGTTACCCATCAAAGTCTGGCTTGAATTCCACCATCTCCCTAATAAATTATTCCTCTTGCCAAGATCCCACAAAGTTCTCTACAACTTTATCACACCTCTTACTTTATCTAATGTTATATTAGTGTTAGTGGTTTGGGATTCCCCTTCTAGATTTTTAGCTCCTCAAGTGTAAAAATCACATCAAACTTAACAAATTAAAATCTTTCATCCCCACTGGCACCTAAAGGTAGAGGACCAAGAAAGCGTCTACTGTCCAGCCAGCATGGCCATTGAAGGCCTAGTGCCCAGCCTTTACAGCACTCTCTGGGCAAGTGCCAGCACCACACCCTGATGCTCATTTCCTGACTATGGGTTCGCCTTGTCTTATTATAGATGTGCTCAGTAATGACCCTGCTTCCTAACCTGGCCTGCTGGGACTCTACTACTTTTGGGCAGCCTTCCCACCTGTCTTAAATGTGGGGTCCTTTCACTTTCATCAAAGTGCTGAATTTTCAAACTTTATATCAACATCCAGAGTTGAGCAGAGGGGGCAAAAACTTAAACCCAGGCAAGGTTCATTTCATTATATTTTTATACAGTGCCAGGTCTGAACTATTATTGTGGATTAACCACAACACATTCCAGGGAAATGGAGATAGTAACATTTGTTGATACACACATGCAAAATGGCATTATTTTCTGAGTGACTTAGTATTTTAAACATTTCTTAGTAAGTATAAGATGTATCTTTATTAATTAAGGGCAAAATACTATGTGAAAACACCAAATTATCACAGGAACTTAAATTCTTAGACTGTTTTTCCACATCTGAATTTAGTTAAGATATAATTCAAATAAGCAAAGCACTGCCCACAAATGATTCACACAATCCTATGACTAGTCATTAAGTAACCCATCCACAAGCATGAAGTGCCTCCTTTTCTAAAAGAAATATACATAATATACTCAATACTTTAGGCTCAAAGGAAAGGTTTATATTTCCAATCTGGTAGGTATTATTTGTTCCATATAAAAGTCCTGCTTTCCCTTTCCTCCATGAGAGAAATACTATTTGTGGAAAAAAGGTGGGAATATTGAAAAGGAATAAAAGGGGTCTGCATTTGAATTATAAAAAATGTTGATGGTGTAATCACGTGACCCTTCTCAATGAATTTGTGAATTAGCCATCTTAAAATCTTTTAAAATTACTGCATAAAAGAAAACAAATTCAGAGAAAGCATCTTTTAATAATATATGATAATAAAAGTCCAAGAGTTATATGCTCCGTTATCCAAATTTTTTTACCTTTTTTTGTTCCTGTTCCTTCTGTTGGAGTCTACAGACTGAGTGATTAGCTGCTTGCACTGAAATAAAACATACGATGGAATTTCAATCAGCAGTCCCTGCTCAAGAAGAAACTTACCTGGGGGTAAGGTGGAGGGGGGATACCTGGATTGTTTTAGACCTCTAAAAAATATACAAAAAAAAAAGGACATTATTTTGGCAGAAGGGATGGCTCGAATGGAAGAAAAAAAGTTTTTCCAATACATTCAGGATGTCATAATTAGAACCATCACTCTTGAGCTGCAAGCCAAAAGGGTACCCACGTACTTACGCCAATGACAAGTTAACAATGACCTCAGAACTCTCTAAAAAGATGAAAGTGCTTGATAAATGTATCATTACACTCTGATTATGCCTTTGCATTGACTCGCTGATTCATTAACTTCCCCCTCTCTTTGCTCATTCATAATACTACAACACTTTCAGGCAGTACTTGATATCTAGATTGCTTCAATAAACTTTCTACTATTCTTGCCTCTGCTCTTGTCTTCCAACTCATCCTGGTTGCTACTGCCAGATTCATCTTTCTCTGGACCACTGAGTCTTTTACCCTTCTTAAAAACCAAAACTGCTAGTAATAAATTATTATAGTCACCATTTATTATTTACTGTGTGCCAAGAACTGTGCTAAGTACTTCACCTGTATCATCCCTCTTAATCCCACTTTCCTATTAGGAGAGGATCATTATTTCATTACACAGATGGCAAAACTGAGACAGAGAGGTTAAGTGGCAAGAGAGGGGGTCACCAACTAAGTACAGGAAACAGGATTTAAAATGATCACTCTGAGACCTCAGCACTCTATTGGCTCCTTTAAGATTTCATCAACTAAACCAAACCCAAACCCATTCTCATCAAGTTGATTCTGACTCCCAGTGACCTATAGGACTGAACAGAGCTGCCCCATAGGGTTTCCAGGGTGCAGCTGGTGGATTCAAACTGCTGACCTTTTGGTTAGCAGCCGAGCTCTTAACCACTGGCCACCAGGGTTCCTCATCAACTAAACTGGTTTTAATTCTTCAATTATTCAAACCTTTTCACCTGCTGGATCCATTTTATTCCTGACCACAAATGTTTCCACTTACTGCAGCCAAATAAAGACGTTTACTGTCCAGACTAAGAGGCCAAGCTCAAGAGTCAGCCTGGGTTCAAGTCTTGGCTTGAGCACTTACTCATTGTATAGCTGATGCAAGGTGTGTTAGCTTGCCCATTTGTTCATTATTTGTCAAATATTTACATTTGCTGCGTACCAGGCACTGTTCTTGTTCCCATCCTCGTCTCTCAGCACTTTAGCTCCTCATTTGTAAAATGGACATAACAACTAATAACAAGACTTCAGAACTGGCATGAGAATTAAATAACGTAGTAGAGATTAGGAGTCCCTGGGTGGCGCAAAAGGTTAAGTGCTTGGCTACTAACTGACAGGTTGGCAGTTCAAATCCACCCAGAGACATCTCAGAAGAAAGGGCTGGCCATCTGCTCCTGAAAGGTCTCTGAAAGATCACAGCTACTGAAAACCCTATAGAACAGTTCTACTCTGAAACACATGGGGTCATCATGAGTTGAAATTGATTCAATGGCAACTTTTTTTTTATAGTAGATATTATGCTCAAAAATAAATCATTTAAAAATGTAATAATATACCTACAGCAGGTCTTCACACATAGTAAGCAGTCAAGATATGTTATTACTATTACTGTATTTACTATACTATCCCTACTGAAAATGTTCTCTTTATTCCTCTCTTATAATAAAAATGTTTTACTTGTTTTAAAAGCCCAGTTCAAGGTCTGTTGCCTTCATAAGGCCCTCCCAGATTAATCCTTCCCTAAGGATTTCCCTTTATTTGAAATTCCTTAATCAGGAGAATAGAGGGCATCATACCCTTTTATCTTGCATAAGCTAAAACTAGAGGGTTATCGAGTTGTTTTACAATTATGCCTCACTCCCTGCCCCACCCCCACCCCACCCCAACTAGGTCATAAGTTCCATAACAGGGCAGGGACTGTGGTTCCTCTTTCAGAAAAATGTTGGCCACCTCCCTGTGAAAATACAGTAAAAGAGGAAAATTTTGTTTTATAAAAGTCATGTTTTAATCAATAGCCATTAATTTAGTTCTATCAAAGATAATACTTCAGTACTGAAAAGTAGGTTCTCAGTCACTGTGAGTTCTAACAGAAAAGATGAAAATGAAACAAATCAGGAGTTGATGAGATCTGCCTTCTCTCTGAGGCGTAGTAATATGACATTATCTTTCCCAAGCGGAGCCTCTATCATTTCTTGGGTTTTTTTCCTGGCTCTGAACATAACTTAAAACCCCATTTTGTGGTTTAGGTGCTTCACAATTTTCACATCATTCGGGGCTTAATCTGAAAGAAGAGTTACAGGTCTGACACTTAGTCGGTCGTTTGTTAACATCCTTTGAAAATTTAATGAGAACACATCTTACACTGACACACGTTTCTTCCTCATCAGGACTGTCTTTGTGTTTAGACAGAATATGTAATTTTAGAAACTTCAGTCCTTTGAGATAATTCACTTTTTAACTCTTTAGTCACACAATAAAAAAAAAGTTTTACTTTGCAAATTTTAGGAAATCAGCTTTTCTAAAATCTAAGGAAATCACCTGACTACAGCAAACATCCCTTGTCTTCACTCTTACTGCCTCCAAGAAGTGAAGGTCCTTTTCTCCAAAGCCCCTATCACTTCCATTTCGCTTACTGCCCATATGTAACTCAGTCCAGTTTCTCCTGTTCTCTCAGGGCTTCAGGAGACTACAGTGACTTCAAAAAGTCAGTAACTTATCAAATGCTTTTCTGTTAACCAAAAGATTATTCAAAGAGATTAGCAACACATACAGAGTTATCGCACCACATGCAGTTACTAATGTCCTGATTTTCCTCACATAAGAGAGAAACTCATTCTGTTATAATGTGAGTGTGCAAACCTCACATTTTAAACCATAGTAGGAGACTGTTTATTTTCACTACTAACTGATCAGGGAGATAGACAAAATCATGCAAGCAAGTTTATACATGCGGTATATTCTAAGTAGTATATTACAAGACTAGTGAGGGAGGAGTGACTTCTGTCCTATGCCTATTAGTAGAACTGCTATGTTGTCTCTTCACACACAAGCCTGTATATGTACTAAACTGTGCTTGAGCATCTCAGAACTCGAAAGATGGTGCATCTCAAGCCAGCGGTCTAACACTGTGCACAAAGCTAAGAAACTATGGAGAAGGACAGTGGGAATGTCAAGAACTGTTAGAACGGGGGCCTATTACAGAAGCCTCAGCTCAGAACTGTTTATGCTTTTGTCTATGCAGCCAACCACTTTGCAAAGTGTCCTCTGACTGGACGAGTGGAGGCTTTATAATAACCAGCACTCACCTTTGGTTGCTTAAAACCACAAAAAGTAAATGAGAGTTCTAGGAGGGTGCATAAAGGCAACCCATAAAGTAACTTGTCGTCAAGATACAGCATGTTCATTTTTCTCATCCTGGAGGTACAGCAGTTCTATATTTGACTTAATAATTACTTAATATACTTGTAAATTTCACTCAGTTTGATGTCAGGCAATCTTGCCTTAGTATTGAGGACCCAGTCCTTGAGTTTAAAGAGTAAGGTCAGAGAACCTCTAGGTTAGCCCTCATTCAAATTTACTAACACAGTTGTAGTAAAATAATATTCTTTCTTTCCCTTTCTCTTTTTAAAAGCAATAATTTTTTAAATTTAAAACAAAGGGACACATGCGCTTTAAAAGTGTATTTTAAGTAAAAAATAAAAAAATTAGCAGGCATATGAAAATATAATTTTCTACGGATACATTAAAAAAAAACAAATGTAAAAATTGTTTTCTCTTTTCTCAGATCCCAAAGGATTGCTGCATGCACCCCAGGGTGCACACATCTCATTTTGGAGATTAATGCTCTTAACATCAATGGCAACACACATCAATCACTAGATCACCACTACCTCTGTGACAGAGCTTCCCTCTGACATACATCATGGTTAAGAATTCTCTCTTTCCACCTCCCACCAAAATACTCAAGGATATATATTTTGACATATAGCATTCATTTAATCTGAAATTAAGGCAACATAAATAAAAAATCGCAGCTTACATCTCTGGAGAACCTCGTTTAAGTTGTCCTGCATTGCCTCTCTACATTTGGGAAGAGTATGTTTGTTTGTTTCATGGATCATATTCTTCAAATTTTTGAGAACTCTCATTTCCCGAAGGCCACGCTTTTCCTATTAAAAAAAAAAAAAAATTAAATGACTAGTGTTTTAAATCTTAGTAACTGCTGTCTGGGATTTCCACGCAGGTTTTGGCAGCATGGAAGGTCACAACCTGGAGTCATTTTTTTCCTATGAAATTCTCTAAAAGTTGCAATATGAGTAATATTTTCACAGCAACATTCAAAAATGAGCAAAAAAATAGAAATGAAAGAAGGGACATTACCACCAACTTTACAGAAATACAAATGATTATAAGAGAATACTATTAACAAACTGTATGCCAACAAACTGGATAACCTAGATGAAATGGATAAATTCCTAGAAACATACAAACTACCAAAACTGACTCAAGAAGAAAGAGAACATCTGAATAGATCTGTAACAAATGAGACTAAATTAATAATCTAAAACTTCCCTACAAATAAAAGTTCAAGACCAGAAGCCCTCATTGTGAATCCTACCAAAAATTTAAAGAAGAATTAACACCAATTGTTCTCAAACTCTTCCAGAAAAATGAAGAGGAGGGAACACTTTTTAACCAAAGCCAAAGACACTACAAGAAAACTACAGACCCATATCCCTTATGAATACAGATGCAAAAATCTTCAACAAAATATTAGCAAACTGAATTCAGCAGCATGTTAAAAGGATTATACACCATAATCAAGTGAGATTTATCCCAGGAATGCAAAGGTGTTTCAACATACAAAAATCAATTAATACACTCACATTCATAAAATGAAGCCAAAAAAAAAAACCCCATAATCATCTTAATTGATACAGAGAAAGCATTTGACAAAATCTAATACCTTTTCATGATAAGAACACTCCATAAACTAGAAATAGATGGGAACTTCTTCAACGTGATAAAAGACATTTATGAAAAACCCACAGCTAATATCATAAGCAATGAAGAAAGAAAGAAAGCTTCCATCTAAGGTCAGGAACAAGACAAGGCTGTCCATTTTCACCAACGCCTTTCGACACTGTACTGGAACTTCTAGCCAGAGTAATTAGGCAAGAAAAAGAAATAAAGGGCATCCAAATTGGAAAGGAAGACAAAAAATTATCTATATTCACAGATGGGAGTCCCTGGTTGGTGCAAATGGTTAAGTGCTTGACTATTAGCTGAAAAGTTGGTAGTTCAAACTCACCCAAAGGCTCCACTGAAAAAAGCCCTGGTGATTTAATTCTGAAAGGTCACAGTCTTGAAAAATGCAAAGAAGCACAGTTCTACTTGGCTCACATAGGGTCTCTATGAGTTGGAATCAACTCGACAGCAATTAACAACAACAGTCACAGATGACAATTTTGTATCTAGAAACTCCTAAACCCAACCTGTTGCCATTGAGTCAATTCTGACTCATAGCGACCCTATGGGACAGAGTAGAACTGCCCCATAGGGCTTACAAGGAATGGCTCATGGATTCGAACTGCTGACCTTTTGGTTAGCAGCCAAGCTCTTAACCACTGCACCACTAGAGCACCAGAAACTCCTAAAGAACCTACAAAAAATTGTTAAGAGTTAATAAATTCAGCAAAGTCACAGGACACAAAATAAATACACAAATATCAACGGTACTTTTATACAACTGTAATAAATAACCTGAAAAGGAAATTGAACAATTCCATTTACATTAGCATAAAAAAATAAAATATTTAAGAATAAATTTAATGATGAAGGCACAAGACTTGTACACTGAAAACTACAAAACACTGCTGAAAAAAAATTAAAGGCCTAAAAACATGGTAAGAAATCCAGTGTTCATGGACTGGAAGACAATAAATATAGTTAAGATGACAATGCTACCTAAAATGATATACAGATTCAGTTCACTTCTATCAAAACCCCAATGGTGTTTTTTGGAGAAACAGAAGAACACATTCTAAAATTTATATGGATTTTCATGGGACACAGATTAGCCAAAACAATTTTTAAAAGATGAACAAAACCGGCAGACTTACACATCCCAATTTCAAAGCTTACTACAAAGCGACAGTAATCAAGATAGTATGTGGTACTGGCATAAGGATAGACATATAGACCAATGAGAATTGAGGGCCCAGAAATAAACCCATATATCTATGATCAATTGATTTTCAACATGGGTCCCAAGACCATTCAATGAGGAAACAACAGTCTGTTCAACAAATGGTGCTGAGAAAACTGGATATCCACACGTAAAAGAATGAAGTTGGACTCTTATCTTACACCATATATGTAAATTAACTTAAAATCAATCAAAAATATATATTTAAGAGCTAAAACTCTCAGGAGCACACAGAAGTAAATCTTCAAAACACTGGATTTGGCAATGGTTTCTTAGATAAGACACCAAAAGCATGCGCAACAACAACAACAAGAAAACAGATAAAACTGAATTGCATTAATATTAAAAACTTTTGTGCATCAAAGGACACAATTAAGAGAATGAAAAGAGAACCGACAGAATGGAGAAAATATTTGCAAATTATATATCTGATACAATGTCCAGGGTTTAATACCCAGCATATATGAGAACTCCTAAAACTGAAACAACAAAAAGACAAACAACCCAATTAAAAAACGGACAAAGGACTTGAATGACATTTCTCCAAAGAAGATATACAAATGGCCAACTGGTACATGAAATGATGCTCAACACAATTAGTCACCAGGGAAATACAAATCAAAAACACAATGAGCTACCACTTCATATCCACCAGGATAGTTAATATCAAAAAGATAGAAAACATCAAGTATTGGCAAAGATGTGGAGAAACGGGAACTCTTGTCCATTGCTGGTGGGAATGTTAAGTGGTGCAGCTGCAATGGAAAACTGCTTGGCAATTCCTCAAAAAGTTAAACGCAGAATTACCGTAAGACCTAGTAATTCTACTTCTAGGTATAAACTCAAAAGAACTGAAAACATGGTCTCAAAAAGGTATGTAGTATGTGCACACCAATGTTCATAGCAACATTATTCGCAACAGACAAAAGGTGGAAACAACCCAAGTGCTCATTAAGAGATGAAAGGATACACAAAATGTGGTATATACATAAAACAGAATATTACCCAGCCAAAAGAGAAAAGAAATTCTGATATATGCTATGACATGGATGAGCCTTGAAAACATGCTGAGTGAAACAAGTTAGACACAAAAGGGCCAATATTGTATGATCCCATTTATCTGAAGTATTTGGAATAGGCAAATTCAAACAGACAGAAAGTAGATTAGAGGTTACCAGGGACTGAAGGCACTGGCAAAAAACAAGACTCCAGGAATTGACCAATTGAGATGTTTCAACAAACGGATGCAGCACTGGAGATGCTTACTTGTCTATGTTAAGAAATCTGGAACACAGCTACTTGGTCAACCGACTGGAAGAGATCCATATTTGCACTCATCATTTCAAAGAAAGGTGATCTAACAGAATGCAGAAATTATCGAATAATATCATTAATATGACACACAAGTAAAATTTTACTGATGATCATTCAAAAGTGGATGCTGTGGTACATCAACCGGGAACTGCCAGATATTCAAGCTGGATTCAGAAGAGGATGTGCAATGAGGGGTATCACTGCTGATGTCAGGTGGATCTTGGCTGAAGAGACTACAGAAAGATGTTTACTTGTGTTTTATTAACTATGCAAAGGCCTTCAACTGTGTGGATCATAACAAATTATCGATGACACTGAGAAGAATGTGAATTCCAGAACACTTAATCATGCTCATGAGGAACCTGTACATAGACCAACAGGCAATTGCTCGAACAGAACAAGGGGATACTGCATGGTTTAAAGCCAGGAAAGGTGTGTGTAAGGGTTGTATCCTTTCACCATATTTATTTAATCTGTATGCTGAGCAAATAATCCGAGAAGCTGGACTATATGAAGAACAGGGCATCAGGACTGGAGGAAGACTCATTAACAACCTGCAACACGCAGATGACACAACCTTGCTTGCTGAAAGCAAAGAGGACTTGAAGCACTTGCTGATGATCAAAGACTACAGCCTTCAGTATGGGTTGCAGCTCAACATAAAGGAAAACAAAAGTCCTCACAACTGGACCACTAAGCAACATCATGATAAATGGAGAAAAGATTGAAGTTGTCAAGGATTTCACTTTACTTGGATCCACAATCAATGCTCATGGAAGCAGCAGTCAAGAAATCAAATGACATATTGCACTGGCCAAATCTGCTGCTAAAAACCTCTTTAAAGTGTTAAAAAACAAAGATGTCACTTTTAGGACTAAGGTGCGCCTGACCCAAGCCTTGGTATTTTCAATCACCTCACATGCATGCAAAAGCTGGACAGTGAATAAGGAAGAACAAAGAAGAACTGACGCCTCTGAATTATGGTGTTGGTGAAGAATATTGAATATACCATGGACTGCCAGAAGAACGAACAAATCTGTCTTGGAAGAAGCACAGACAGAATGATCCTTAGAAGTGAAGACGGCTAGACTTTGTCTCACATACTTTGAACACGTTGTCAGGAGGAACCAGTCCCTGGAGAAGGACATCATGCTTGGTAAAGTAGAGGGTTAGTCAAGAAAGAGAAAGACCTTCAACAAGATGGACTGACATAGTGGCTGCAACAATGGGCTCAAGCACAGCAACGACTGTGACAATGGCGTAAACTGGGCAATATTTTGTTGCTGTACATAGGATTGTTATGAGTCAGAACCAACTTGATGGCACCTAACAACAACAGGGACCGGGGGAGTGGGAAGTAAGGAGTTACTGTTTAATGAGTACAGAGTTTCTGTTTGGGATGATGAAAAAAGTTAGAGATAGTGCTAGTGGTTGCAAAATATCGTGAATATAATTAATGTCACTAAATTGTACATCTGTGTTGTTGTTGTTAGGTGCCAATGAGTCAATTCCGAGTCATGGCTTAAAATGGTTAAAATGGAAATATATAAAATGGTATAAATATATATACACACACATATATTATGTATGTATATATACATTTTTTTAAATACAATAAATGCTGATAAAAAAAGAGGGAGATTTGAC